TTATCTCAACGCACCAGTTGTCTCACTTTTACTCTTCCAATTCTCTATCCATCCCACTGCGGGGAGTGAGCAAGCGGCTGTGTGGGGCTTAGTTGCTGTCTGGGGTTAAACCATGACACAGTCTAATGCCAGTAACTCACTTGGAACATTCAAACTCACACTTCACGGATAGAACCAAAGGTCATTTTGAAATGCTCTGCTCGCTCATTTATTAAACCAGATGGTAAAAAATGTAATAAACCTACCTGCAAAGGGTCCCTGTCACTCAGAAACACATTCCAGTATAGATCATCAAGGACTAATTAAGCAGTAATTGTAAAACAATTTCAGATCAACTCTGAGTAGTATTTTAAAAGAGTAAAAACAATACTCTATTTGTAATTATGATGAGAAATTCTTGTAACCTCATTTTCTTCAGCTTAAAACAAAGATGATGAAAAACCACGCCAAGGGTTAGATTCCTCTGCTCTTAAAAGTCTAAAAGCCAAAGCTAATTATTTAAGGTAACTTTACAGATCACTAAAAGGGAAATAAAGCACTATCCTTGCACTATTAAGCATCCCATCATTAGAGGTGCATCCAAAATAGGTTTACTAAACCTCTTTCTATAGGTCCTTTGCTCTTACCACTGACATCTCAGGGAGACCGACACGCATGGTTTTGACCAGATGTCCAATTTAGGTGGTTGTAACTAGGCAAAATGGGTTGTTTTCTGCTCTTATGTTCAGCTTTTAATGTATGAAGACATGAGAGACAAGGGTATTTAGTGAGTTTCAAGTAATAGGGAAAAACAGAAACTTTTTTTTTTTAAAGAAAAAAATAAAAAACAAGGTCTAGAGGTATGGCTAAACCACATGCACAGTTGTATCAGTGTCCCCAGACATCTGAAAGAAAACACTCTGCAACAAATAGACCACCTGTCTACCGAGGTATAAGCTGAAGAGAAACTGTGTAGATATCTTGTATCTCTAGAAGGGCACATCAAAAACAGCGCAATGAAGAAAGTTAACTTTTTACACCAAACAGCCTTGAAATACATCTTCACAGGTCACTGAACAAAGCACTGAGCTGCCTGCTCTAAAAGGATGTCTTCATAAATTTCCATTTTCAAGCTAAAGCACAAGAAGAAAAAAAATAAAAACCATGGGATCCAGACACACTAAGCCATGAGAAAGCTCAGCTAAGAAGGAGAAAAGCTTCAGGCCCTTCAAATCGGAAGACTCAATTATGCAGCAGTCCGACGGTGTGACAGACACGCACACACATCAGTGCGTAAGACACCCGGTTTATCTTTCAGCTTCAGGGTTCCCCATGTCAAAGAGACACCAGCCACTGAGTGACTTACTGCAGCTTTCCTAAGACCCTCGAGGGTGGACATACACCGCTAACAAAAGTACTCAGCTTTCCAAGATTTCATTCCTGACTCAACAGTATGACAGTTCTGCAGATGGAGAAACCAAGAGGGCTGGGTCTCTTTCAAGTCACATAGCAAATACAGCAAAGAAAGCAACTCCAAGGGCAACAACACCACGAAGAGTGGAGAACCCAGAGCCCGACCTGCCTCGGCAAGAGCAGCCAGAGTAGCAGTGAGCATCTCACACACAGTGTACAAACAGTGACACCAGAGCACTACAGGAGGAGTTCAGGGACAGAGCTGATTAAGTGACCCCATTGCTCAGCTGCAGCCAACTGGGTGTTGGAAGCCGTATCCAAGTTGAATGGTTGTGCAGAAATAGAAGCTCTCGATCGTGGCTGGAAAAACTCAACTCAAAGGGAGCAGGTCCCTGCTGCAGGCTGCAAGAACTTCTGGGGAGACGATGGAATGGATCTGAGCTGCTTCCCAAACTCAACTCAGCTGCAAGCATCTAAAAGGACCAGATCTTTGATGGTATTTTTACATTTCTATACAATGGCTGGTTAGAAGAGTAGAAGCATGTTATCCCAAAAAATGAGGGACAATCTGGAAAGGCAAAGCAAGAAGTAAAATCTGATGGAACAGTCAGCTGCTCCTCTGACTACACATCTGAGAAGTTACCTGTCTGTGCATGCTTCAGGAAGAAAAGAAGAGAGATGAAGGAAAAAAGACACCCATAGACTAGAATCTCAGATACAAATATTGTGGTAGAGAGGCACTCCAGGGAGTCTATTACCACCAAAAAAAAAAAAAAAAGTGTGCATCAGACACAGGCCTAAAGAAAAAAAAAAATCAGAAGAGTAACCTGCAATTGTGGGAAGTTACCTCAACATAAATTTAGAGAAGCTCCTCGGAAGTAAATGAAGCTATTCTGTTATAGCATAAACCAGCATGAAATCCCAGCACTGCAGAAGCGTGTGTCAAGTTGGCTATATAGAGTTTAAAAAAAAAAAAGGTCAACAATCATAAAGATCATGTTTCCAGGCTCATCTACACCCACGTCCAGCCACATGTTAACACTGATGTTCACAGAAGTGTTTCAGCAGCAATGAACATTAGGAAAAAAGCTGTTCTCTTGCAGAGATTGGACCTACTGAGCATGGACTTTCCTTCTGCCAACAGAAATAAAATTAGTGTTGCTTACATTACCCAAAATTTAAACATGAGCATAAGGGTATAATGTTCAGAAAGTAAAACAAGGTCAGGCTGAATGTTCATGAAAATCATCTGTAACCATCAAGGCAGTGCTCTGAAAAAAATATTTAAAAGAAGTTCCTTAGTGTCGAATAGAAATCACTTTTCTGCTGAAAAAATACACACAGTATTTAATTTCAAAGTCAGAAAGTTACCTAGAGGTCTGCCAAAGAACACAGAAATGCTATTAAAATAAAACCCAGCATAACACTCACAATTCTTCCAGTTAGATGACACCTAACAGCTCTTGTCCCACTGCTGTCATGCCTGGGTGCAGGTCTGATCCTGACACTAACACTTGAGTTCATCCCTGAGGAGCACACTAATCCAAAATTAGTCCCCCCACATCTGTCCAGAATTAATTTCACTGCT